AGTACTGTAGCTGCCTTGTAAAATTAACCCTGATACAGAAACTATTAAAATACATTTTCATTGAGACATTAATAGAAAAAGAATTCTATAGAATGAGTTACATGATAAAAGATTTTGTTGGTACAGTTATCTCTGTGGATAGACAAAGACACCTAAAATCTACATACCCCACCCAAACTCTAAGACAGGACATAATAGGATTAATCCACAGATGCCAAAAGGGCACACTCAGACTCAGGTCAAAGTACATGACACAGGAAATACAAAGCCTCAAACAGGAACAGGAAACAACCTTAAGAGCCCCAGAGGGTATAAAAACCCACTCCCTACATGTGCTCTCTCTCTCTCTTTTCTTCCAGAGCCATCTTTCTGTCTGGCTCTCTTCTTCAATAAACTATAACCTTCTTTCTAAAGCAGTCGCCATGTTATTTATTCTCAGCTTGCACTGGGCCCTGATGAAGACTTTTCCCTCAATATCTCATAAAAGGTGGCTGAGGGATTTCAGAAGAACATTGAATAAGCAAAGAGATATATATACTAGGCTTCAGAGCTCTTTAAAGAACCTCTATCTTCTTTTCAGGGATCTTTGCTATATTATCATGTTGGAGTCATAATAAAAATACACCGTTTGATTTTAGTCATATTGACAAAAATAATCAATATATTACTAAAATTCTCCTGTGTGGTTATCTATTTGTAACCTTTAATTGGCCAAAACAATGCATCATAGGGAATAGTTCTTGAATCAAAATACCTCAAATATGCTAACTTAAAGAATGTGTACAAAACCCAGATCCCATTACTCCTGTGGAATTGAAATTTCAGGGACCTTCAAATCTATTGTATTTGCAAACTTTTGACTGCTGCAGTGCTGTGACAATAAGCTACAGTCACATGATTGGGATTTCTAATGCTCCCTACAGACAAAGTCAATGGGGAAGCTGGCAGGAAGTTAGAAGTCACTTCCACTCCCACTTTTTTTCCCCATTGTCATTTTGTTTATCTCTTTAGCAATAGCACTTAGATTTACATACCTCTTCACAGTGCTTTATAGCCCTCTCTAAGCAGTTTACAGAGTCAGCATATTGCCCCCAACAATCTGGGTCCTCATTTTAGTGATCTCAGAAGTCAACCTTAAGCCGGTGAGGATCGAACTGTTGGCAATTGGCAGAATACTGCATTCTAACCACTGCGCTACTACAGCTCTCCACTGTGCTGCCATGGCTCTAGGTAATTAAATAGTTTAGGTAATTAAATATTAATAAAGGATAACCCAATAGTCATAACTTGTCTAGTTTTAGTTCAAAGTGAGTACTAAAGTTCCTAAGAATGAATGCTCACAACTATTAATATTTGACTTTAAAAGAACCTCTGTTCCACTGAACAAATGTTATAAAACAGGTTTTCAGTGAGCAGATTAAGATTGAATTCATTTATCTTTCAAAAGAATCTATTTGGTGATCTGGGGTGCCTGGTTGCCCAGAGGAAATGATTAGACTCCTTGGTTGAAAGTTTATAATAAGATCAACTGTAATAAAAGTTCAATTTTGGGGCAAAGATTTGAACTTTTCTATGAGGATCAGAAGTGGAAAAAGTGAAAGTAATGAATTAACTGAATGATAAAAATGTTTCAGACTGCATTTCTAACCATCACTGTTTTTGCTTACATATTAGGAAAAATTATTTTAAAATTACATGATTTTTATCAATTTGTATTAAAGCTCTGCAAATCCTCTCTGCTTGAATGCATTTTTTTGTCTTTCCATTATTAATTGAATGGAAACGAGAAACATGCACAAGGCTGGAAGAAAGTAAGAGATTAAATATCCTGAGACTAGTTAATCCATATAAAGTAAACTGTAAGTGAAATCACAGAGAACAGGAAATTTCCACACTAGCATTTTGCCGCAGCACCTTTCAAAAAGAAAGAATGTGTACCAAGCATTGATTGTTCACTAAGATTACACTGTTCTACTTTTAACTTTTCATGGGGCTAATAATAGATTGATAACAAATTGCAGAATTAAGAATCAAACTGAGAACACTAATTGTGGGGAAACATCACACAAGATTCTAGATCAGGTGTGTCCAACATAAAGCTCAGGGCCCAAATAACACTATAATGTGATTTATATACATTAACTATATTAGATATTTTATATGCACCCCAAGACAATTCCTCTTCCCTCAATGCAGCCCAAACAATCCAAAAGATTGGACACCCATGTTCTAGATGCTTTTATGAAGGATTCAGCATTAATTATCAAGGGTTGTATATAGGAGAAGAGTGGTTGGGCTTCAGACTGTACACCATGGGCATGCAAACCAAGTCCAAGCATTTCCCTATAAGAACTTCAGGACACTCAACCACTGGACATAGAAAAGAATGGAATAGTGTACAAACCAATCAATTACCAGGCAAAGGAGCAACAGAATCATTAACAGTTTTGTGGGAAATGTCTATGGAGATTATCAGTCATCCAGGTCATTATTGTCCCAAAGATGCTTTTTCAAAAGGCAATTGGACTTTGTTTTTCCTGGGAAGATGTTTTGCTTATCATCCAAGAAGCTTCTTAAGGACCATTGGAATTGGGGAAAAGGAAACCCAGACAAGGAACATTTTACATGAACTTGTTTTATCCCTCAGAGGTTATTGGCATCACCAACCAGGAGATGCAGATATGCATCTTTCACATTCAATCTTCAGAACTTAAATATAGGAGTAACTCAAGATATTCTTCTATAGGATGAAACAGAAAAGCAATCCACATATGGAAAGCAACCAGACTAGCAGCTGTACTGAACTTTGATGCTGGTGATGAGACATTGCCCTGTCTTCTTCCCCTTCCTTCCTTCCTTCCTTCCTTCCTTCCTTCCTTCCTTCCTTCCTAATATAAAAGTAATATAAAACTAAAAACAATTCCTTCTTGTAAACATCCCTCCCCCCAAAAAAAAACAAAAAGAAAGAAATGAACTGTTCAGAAAGGAAAGTGCTAGCAGTAAATCATATCCTAGAAATAATGATATCTTTTTGGAGAAACTAAAACACAAAAGGAACTTTTGAAAGTACTAATAGAAACCACTTTAACCAATCATATTTGCTGCATGAGAACTGAAGCTAAAAAGGAAAGCATTAAAAAGAGATCTGGGCCACTCCAGATTTTCGTTGTTGAAGACCAAGGCACATCTGATTAAGTGGCAGAAGGAATCTTTGCTTTTTCCAAATCAACCACAAGTTCCTGGCAACCATACAGAAAGCTGATTCTGGCTTTAACCGCATTACCACAGTTCCTAAAGTGGTTTTCCAGGGAAAGGGAATTTGTCAAATAGGTTTTAAAAGGAACAGACCCTTCCTCTGGTTTTAATATAGTTCCAATTTACTTCATAACTGCTAAAATTGTAATAATGTGCAGTGAAATATAACTAGATTATGGAATAAGGTTGCTCTCTGTCTTTTTTTTTTTAACTTACCTGGCCAGAATTTTTTTTTTGGGGGGGGGGAATAAAATTGGTATAAAAATAGAGATGGCAATTTGAAAATAAAATATGTGTAGAGTAAATGTTCCTACAAGTCTACTCTGGTCTTTTCACACCATTCCTGTGTCCTATACATTACTTAGTATACTTTACTATCACTAAATATATATAGTAGTAGATAGTAACAGTATATTGATGTTCAATGTACTATGTTAATATTATCTTTTCTTATCTTGAATATTATTCTGAGATTGTTGGGATGACCACTTTTCATAAAAGGTACTATTCAATACTATGTATTACTACAGTGTATTTACTGAGGTCTAATTGCTATCTTCTGTTTTGGGAGTAGCAGGAGGCAGCAAAGAAGAAGGGCAAGTAATTTAATTTCTGGAATACAACTATACATCGATGAAAAGAAGAAACAAAAAGAGTGCCTGGTGTCATGGATTCACAAAAGTGCAAGGGTGAGTAAGAAACCAATTGTAGCTGGTTTAAATTTACTAAGCAGAGGAAGCAAGCAAGTAGGAACCCACCAATTTGATGGTCCCATATACAACCCAGGAAGAAGTGACATCAGGGCATTGTAGAGAACCTCAAGAAGGAGGCCATCATTTTGATATTCTCACATGTTAAAATAGGAAAAAAAAACTAATACTAAGAAAAACATACTAAGAAATAACAGGGAAAGAGGCAAAATTACTAAGTAATTAGGAAAGTTTCACTGGATGGTTTTCAATAGAACCTTTAAAGGCACAATAATAGATTTTTTTAAGTGAAAAAAAAAAGAAATCCCAGCAGAAAACATATATTTGGAACAGTTCTGCTGAATGAACAAATTTGGCTATGGGCATCATAGATTTGGATCTAGAGATATAATCAGGGGAAAAAATTATGAATGATGAACTTGTTCAATGTCACTTCTGTATTTCAACAGACTTTATTAGCTATCTGCTGCTCTCTACTTATTCTTTTGATGATGGCTCTTATTCAGGTGCTACTCCCAAATTACAGATGCAGAAGTCCATTAAATTTGTAAAAAAAAATATACATTTCAGACCAAACCTGTTAAACCTATTAAATTGCAAACAGAACTAATACGTTTCCTTTCCAATACAGAGACTCAGCCAAGCAACCAAATATATATAGAAAAGATCACTCCAAAAGAGACATCTGGAACCAATCAGCAGCCTGTAGCCACTTGGTGTCATTTTTGATATATTCTGTATCAGCCACAGAGGACTTTATGGCAAACAAAATGTATTCCAGTAAGAAGAAGCAACTCCAACCAAAATAGTTGGAGTCAAGAAACCTACAGTACATAGCAGCATTTGGTAACTACTATATTTACTTAAAAAACTAGATTTTCTTTCTAAATAATGTACCCTCAAAATGAAAGGATTGTGGTAGAGTTACTAAGAGTATATTATTTAATTAATCTTTTAAAAAATAACCTTAAGACAAGTGTGTTTGGGTAAATACAGTAATTAAAAAATTATGGGTCCATTCAATAGAAACATTACCTTTCTGTCTGTAATGTGACTTTGGAAGGCTCCACATTGGGGTTCTCCCACTCCATTTGTGGGCAGTGCATAAAATAACACAGAGTGTACAAGGCCTCCGGTTCCCAGTAGAGCGACCCCTGCCTGTGATGTAAGGGTGTCGTGTTGCCATGTTGCTTTGCACTGAGTGGCTGGAGGTGGTGCATTGCCCGAGACACCAGGTCACCTGAAAAGGAGAAAACAAGTCACTAAGTGGCTTTTCTTATTCTATTTCAAGTATAGCCTTCTTTCTTGGTAATCACTGGTCATGACATATAGAAGCAGAGAGTGCATGAACTTCATGAAAGCTATAGCTTGAGATTTATTAAGAAGCAGAAATACTATCCTATTATTGTGGTTGGTCACATAGTCAGCCAGATGTCTAGATTGGATTTAGCATTATTGTCCACCTGTTGAGTTCTCCCTAAGGACCTAAGATAAGCAATTTTTGTTTGTAGTATGAAAGGTATTATGGCAGGATGTAGCTGTTCTAAGTAAAGTCGCCTTATGCAATTGACTGATGATGATTTTGTCAATGCCAATGGTGTTCAAGATTCTTATTTAAATTTCTAGGCCACCAATTCCCAACAACTCTGGGTGGCTCAAAAGTAAAAAAAAAAAAATTAAATAAGAAAATAATACACTAAAAGACAAAAATAAGAAAATAAGAGATAGCAAAGGTGACAAGAGCTGGATAGAAACAATAAACAAACACATATAATGCAAGGGGGTGTCACTCAACCTTGCCAAAGTCCTGGGCAAAAGCCAAGTTTTCAAGGTCTTTCAAAACAACAGTAGGATATCTCTCACTTCACCACAAATATAAAAAAGACATTTGTTGTTCTGCCCCAGCCCTTGATTGCATCACTCAGAACATGGAAAGGTACTCCAGAAGCATCTCAGCAGGTAACGGCATTAGCTGAATTTATTTGAACATACAAACAATCTTGTATCTCCCAGAGATGAGACATATGTGGTGGGGTTCTCCTGTGGTTCCAGAAGTCCCTTAAGACCCGATTCTGTACACAGGCAATGTCAAATGTTAAGAGAGGTTGAGGTTAGGGTGTTAGTGGACACTCTGTTGTGTGTTTTCTTTACATTTTCAATGTTTTCTTGTTCAGATTATTATATTTTGGTATTATATTTTTAATTCATTTAATTGTACATTCAAATAAGTTGCAAATTACTCAGAGTCTTTTGGAGTGGTGACTATAATAAATCTAAATAACAACATTTCAATAGAAGAAAGCAATGACAGTGGCAGAAAGCCTCTGCACTGTTGCTGGAAAAACATGTACAATTGTGTTGGGATAGTCACTAAGGGTGCCTCAACTCAAAAAAGAGTTTTTTTAGTGTTTTTTTTGTTTTCCATTTAGGAAACAATCCTTTTCTCTACAATGGATTAACCCAAACCTTTCCCAACTTGATGTTCTTCTGGCTATGTAATCCTAAAAGGTTTGGACTAGGACATTCTGGGAAATTGTAGAGTGGACTCTATCTAGATAACGTATCATTTATTGCTGCAGAATTATGCTTTATAACAGCCATCTTAAATTAGGGCTCTTAGAAAACATTGGATTTTAATTTCTAGTATTCTCTAGCTTGCATTGAAAGATGAGAAATTGCTTTAATACACATAGATTATTTATAATGATTATAGTAATTATGATTTGATTATCTATGATGCTAAATATAATTCAATGATACTTTTAAAATGGAAACATAGTTACCCCTAAATAGAGCTTCTGTTGATTCTAAATACCATCATCTATCTATTGCCAAGAACTACTTAAAAATATATTATTCTGGAATTAATTAAATGGCATTATTCTTAATCAATCTGTGATCAGTTAGTTTTCGGATCCAATTGAAAATGTTGTTTTTGCCTTGAAATCCAAATCTCCTTAGATCTAGATAGATAGCTATTTTAGGTTAACCTGTGTGTCATCTCCTCTGTGTTATAAATACCTCACTGCCTTGATCTCTGTTCCTCTCCAGCGTGAAGTAAAAGAAATGAGATCTTTTCAGTTGTGATCAATACTATGGACAATGCCTTCAACAAATAACTATGTCTAGTTATTGTTGAAGATGGTGGAGGACAGGAAGACCTGGAGGAACATTGTCCATGGGGTCGCGGTGGGTCAGACACGACTTCGCAATTAACAACAACAAGTCGTTGTTAATGTTGTTGTTTTTCACTCCTGGCCAAGTCCCTGCTCTTTTTTGAGAGGCTTTTGAGGCAGAAAAACCTTTATGCTGCTGTTTATTGGGTTATGCTTTATTGGAGGATCTTAAAATTGATGCACTGATCAAATTTGTTATTTATTGCCAACTGGGTCTTTTTTTTCTGTTTTTCTCACAGTCCTTGATCATTTTCTTACTTCTTACATTAGATGATTACCTTGAGGAAATTGGTTTATTTGTAAGAGAAAGAATGGAATAAAATAGCAAATAAAATACAGAATGAGAATACGTATAGTATATGGCATTAAGCAAATATGTGGATAAATCTACCAAATGAACATACTCCTCTACAACATACATTCTAAATCAGGGATGGGGGAATGATGGCCCCATTTACAACCTATGGATTTTGACTCCCAGAATTCTTGAGCCAGCTCAAGAATTCTGGGAATCGAAGTCCACAGGTCATAAAGGAATCATCATTCCCTATCCCTGTTCTAAATAGTCTTGCCAACTGAAAAAAAACCCACCGTTTTTAAAAATAGAAAATAATGGTATTATTCATAAAACACATTTTCAGAGGCAGATGATTTTCTTTAGCAAAAGGAGCCAGACACATTCCAACATGCTGCGCCTGGCAAGAAATTCATTGCAGCACATATTTGTTTTGCTTGTGACAGAAAGCATGTGGCCAAGTTCCCCCCTTTATTTTAAGAGAGTCTCCTCTTTGTTTCTGTGTCTGCTAACTGTCGAAAATTAGAATTGCATAACTGAGATTTCTGGGGATTCCTGAAATCTTTAACAGGCACTATATTCCACGCAACATGGCATGGGCTTTAGAATAATAGCAATGCTAACACAAATAATTGCAAGTGAAAGAGTTGTGAGGGACAACAATTTAAGCACTACTGGCTATCATACAATATCAAGGATTTGATTCTCAATCCTATGTTGGGTTTGAATCTTAGGCCTGTATCTTCTAATCAGTCTAATAAATGGTAAAAAAAAAAATGTTCAGGTCCACACCTCCCTCCATGTTTTCTTTTTTTTTTCTTTTTTTTTTCTGTGTGTGTCACAGCACACTCCTGAACAAACATGGACTACAGCCACTCATCTATTTTATTTTTCAAATATCTCTGGGATTTTTTAATGCAGATCAACAGAAATCTTCCCATCCCTATGACCTCTGGATTGGTTGGTACTGCAGCTCACAGGAATTTGAGCAAGAATGTCAAATTCTATTCTGAACTTGCTAGCTGCCAGAATAGGGAAGGTCAGTCTAATGAACAATAGTCTATACGTAGCTATAGAACAGATAATGTATAGACAGATTGCTACTGCTTGCTCCTAGTGAAATACGTAGCAAGGCTATGAAAAGGGAGGAAACACTGGAGGGAAAAAGCAAACAGAGGCTGCGATTCCAGTGTACTGCAATTTCTGCTTACTCCATTATATCTTGTGACTCAAACCTTTCATTTTAAAGAATTCATTTTTCTTTTCCTACTGGTAGGAAATTACTATGCTCAGAATTAATCCTATATTTCTTAGAAGTCTGTAATTCTCAGTGGCTTGATGAGCAAGAAGTCGATCCTATATGCAGCCAACCTGCAAAATTAACTCCAAATGGATGTGTTCCTCAGTGCATAACAATTCCCTGAAAATCAATAGCATTTTAGCAAAGTTATATCAGAACTTTCAGAAAAATACAGGGCAACCTAGGGTTAATGGTTCTTCCACCAGGACTTAAGTCCAGGTGGTTAAATTCTCAGGTACCTTGGTTTCCTGCTGCTGGTGAACAACAGATCTGTGCATGATAGGCTTGCATCCATATATGATATCATGACAGGCAAATGTGTAGATCTGGCATGTGTTAGAAAGAAGGATGTTGCCCTATTAGAAACATGCCCAATTTATATTTCAGGTCCTAAGTGCAACAGTCACCTAGTCAAGGACAAGTAGGAGAGTTTTGCAAGACCTTGTAATGATGAGGAGCTCTGCACCAGACATGAATGAATGCAAGTGCTAGTCAGGGAATTGGGCTGCATATCAACCAATTGCCTGCCCAGTAGTTGCCTTTCTTGAGCCTTTGGAACTCAGTTCTGAGTTGGCGCTGAAGTTCACAAGTCCACCAGTCTTCATTTCTTCAACCTCTATACTGCGAGGAAATAATGTAGTGCTGTTCATGGATTTCACAATGACCTTGTGCTTACTACAAATGCAGCCACAACTTATACTGGAAGGTACCCACTGAACCTGTTCCTTACTCTATTGCAGAGGAATCACGATCTGAAAATTAAGGATATCAACAACTGTTCTTTTCACAATGAATTGCTTTTATTACCTCTTCCTTATCAAATTGCACATCACAGAGGCTCCAAAGCGCCTCAACGTGAACCTATTAAAATGATCCACTCCAGCATCAAATGAGTAAAGAGGCTTTCCAGAGGGTGCTTCTAAAACCTTCTCCATATACTTGGTAGACAGTTCCATCCTGTGCCTAATTAATGGACTATGGGGAAAAGCAGAGCACAGGATGATATTGCACCCATGAAACTTCGTCCCACTTGCCAACCCTAAGTGACTCTTAGGCTTACTAAGAACCAGAGGGAAGTGACTGAAAAGAAATCTACAGCAGTTTTTCTACAGTGCAAAAATCAGGTTTAGAAGTGAATAGCTATAGGTAAGAGCTCATGTTTGAGCCTACAGAGTTGTGATAACATCATTAAAGTATCAATTCTTTTCCTTGCTTATTGCTTCAAGAGGTTACCACCCAGTGATGCTGTTCAGAGCAACCTGAACCTTTTAATGAAAGATGGGACAAGGTTCCTACAAGCACCAGGGATTAATTTCTCAGAAGACAGTTGCACTCTTGGTTGGACGCTAGCTGGAGGGAATCCACTATGGTGAGATAAAGTTGCCTCATGCTTCTCCTGGCTACTTCAGGTGGCTAGGTGAGAAGCAGGTGAGTGAATCTGAGATATAGCCAATATTTTCTGAGGGAAG